AAAAAAAAAACAGAAAGACAAACGAAAGTCGGGGAAAATTGAAAAAAGTGAAATACACTTTCTGAGAAAGCGCAGCTTTCGTCTAATGGCACGCATAAAATGCGTAAGATCGCATATTCTTGAAATGGCCACGCTGACTTTTGAAATAAATTATTACAACAGGGAGGGAAAAATTTCAGTCATTCGTAACGTTACGAAAATTTATTTCAGATAAAAGTTGAGCACCTAAACATAACCTAACCTAAATCTAAATCTAAATCTAAATCTAAACCTAACCTATCCCCGATGTTTTGGCATTTGAAATTTAAAATTCAAGGCATGAAATTAATCACATTGGCGTGTGAATGTAATTCTCGTAATTTTAATCTCCCCTAATTAATAGCTTTAATTGCAATTAACTGATGTGAAAAGAAATAGCAAGGCCAGGGGATAATAAAAAGACCCTGACTGTATAATGTTACAAGTTTTCTCATTTTTTTATTTTCCCTTCGTAGTTTCAGTTTCGTGGTTCCGTAGTTTTGTAGTCTAATTGAACGTAGAATCGATCAACGAGTATAAGTATATAAAATTCATCTCGATTATCGGAACTAATTAGGAGAAACATCTCTCACAAAAAGATAAAGATGCGAATAATAAAAGAAATGGTCATCAATATTTTTTCCGATATATCTCATTCAAGGAACAGCAAGGCACGAAATTTAAAATATAGAAACACGTGTCGAACAATTAAATACTATTCGATCAAATGTTGTAACTATTTTAAATAGAAAATTATTACTTATTATTAGAAAATAGTTACAAACGCTTGATTGCTTATTTTCCATCGAATTGAAATATCGTAAGAAAATATTTAATTTTATAAAATAAGATTATATATAATTTTAATAATAGTATATTTAATATAAATTTTAATAATAGTATATTTAATATAAATTTTAATATTATTAATAATTAATAATAATATAATTTTATAATATATAATGTATAATTAAAATTATATACAATTTTAATAATAATACGTTTAAAATTTATGAAATTTTAAATTTACAAAATTTATAAAATTCTCGAATATTTTGTTACAAAAATTTCCGAACGAATGCGTTTGAAATGTGACCGTAAAACAAATAGTTGTTAAATTGCTTGTTATCGAACATTCGTTAAAATTTAATTGGGTACAGTCTTGACTAGTCTTTTCTGCAAAATTCCCCCCCAAAAATTTTTTCTTTTCTTTTTTCACGAGTTCAAACAGTGGCTGATATTCATATAATATGAAATTCAACAATCCATTTATATAAAATTATAAAACATTAGTTGTTTCAACTAAAATGTTCTCTTACCGGACGATTCTTTCCACGAAACGTGAGTTTCTTTCGCCGCAGTTTACGTTGAACTGTCTTCCGTGTGGGA